ACATTTTTACTTATTTAATCAACTTATAAAAAGAATAAGAAATGTGGATATATCAACTGTCTCCAACTCGTTAGCTATTGTCCTTGACTAATGTAAGCTGTAACCGGCAAGACGGTCAAATCATCATAAATGTGTTGCTGTAGAGATGACCTTATTAAAAGATAAAAAACAAGAGTTAAATTTAAATTTGTAAATCCTTTCATAGAATATCAACTTACACTTTAGTCAATATTTTAGCACAACTTAAAAAAAAAGTTGTGCATACATATAAGTAACTTTTGCTTTAAAAGCATCAAATATTTAATCACAACATGAAACTAAAATGAGAATATTGAGGTTTGGTGCCCATTGCGTAGTTTCATACTTTGATTAAAATTTCTTAAATTGGGACTTGTATATAACGTCACATACAGAAGCAGGATCAAATCAACTTAATAAAAGATCAAAAAAGGGAAAAAAAAGACTCTTGAAGGATGTTGAGACACCCTTACCATAATTGGTACGATATGTTTTCTTCTTTCTTTTTCTTTTATTTTAGTTGTGAAATAAGTGACAAATCTCTTTCATCTTTTATTTTATTTTATTTGTATATCATACAATCTAAACTTAAAATCTTTTATTTGTAAAAAAAATATTATTAAATTAATTAAGTCTTTGGTTATATTTTTCTCTTTTATTTTTTAAGAAAAATTTTCCTGGGCCTGGACATGTAGATTGGTAGTAACGGAATCTTGGATTTTATGCAACTTGTAAGAGTCCCTTCAGCCTGTAGAGCCGATTACCGACATATTGATTCCTGACAACAGATAATAGGCCTCATGGCCAATCGGGCTTCCTTATGAGATCCAAAGTGCCAAACTAAATTTCAAACTCGAGGGCCATCAAAAGATTCAAAACAAAGCACTGTCCACAGCTCTCCTGCATTGTCCTGCGCGTCACTTTAATATTGGCTTATAGTTTTGCCAGACCAAAAACACATTCTCCTCTGCCGAAGCCAAAATGATTCAAACGGCCAAATGTGCCCTTTGGTTTTCAAGTCAAGAAACCATCAAAATTACTCCTTCCCATTCCAGTTGCCGACCGTTACTTCCTTCTCCTTTTCTTTTTTGGCTTTCTCATTATCACTTCTACTACACACCACATTCTCTCATTCAGACCACCAATTCCAAAAACAAGACACAACGGTTGAAGAAAAGTGAGTTTTCTCTCCTTAAGCAACAGGGTTTTTAATTCTTTCAATGTTTCGGAAGCTCTTGGCATCTTTGCAATTCTAACATGAATCTTTTGTTTGTTTTGTTTTTGAAATTAATCCAAGTGTACCCAAAGGAGAAAGTGAGGCCGGAACAAGATGAAGATGACAGTGGTTTAGTTCAATTTTTAGAGTCTTTCTCCAGCCAAGCTAATTAATACCAGCTGCCACTATTTTGCGCTATGATATATATCAGTACTGCTTCTAATCATACATCCTATATTCCCATGTAATGTGTGGTTTATTTTCCCTCTCGTTTTTGTGCAAAGAAGGAAAATCAATGGCATTCTGATTCTCCACCTATAATTGGTGGAGTCACCAATGCTAATTCAATTTCAACTTCTAAAGGTTAATTATTTCTCTTCAACATGCTACATTTTAAATGTTGTTGTTATCTAATTGCTTGAATTTTCGAGTAAAGCGGTTCTGGACATGGTACTGTGACCTTTTGACTCGTATGACTTGTGTACTCCACTCTCCACATTGAATTAGTGGACATGTTAGAAACTTAACTCACATTATAGGTTAATTCTGTACTTTTTCTTAATCTTAATTATGAAATGCATTTTGACAGTGATGAATAATCAGAAGAGCAATGGTGAGGAGAAAACGTTAAGTGGAAGAGCAGCTTTAGTTCCGCGCCCTCATGCAGCTTTGTCTGGTCCTGGTAATCTGAATTTCACTTGTTTTACCTGTTTCTTCTTAATTATCTATGATTGTTTGTGGAATTGAGATGAATCTTCCACCTTGATAAGATATGAACCATACTGATCGGGGGCATAGGCTTGAGTAAAGAATTGACATAGTAGTTCTAAAGGAAGTCACTTCTTCTAGCAGTGAGAATGTATATTGTGTCCTTGATAATGGATGCACATTTGTTACTTCCAGATAACTTTGCTCACTTTTTCTGGTACTCCTTATAATACTCCAATTGCTGTGACAATGGCACACACACTAAGTGCTCATGGGCTAAATCCTTTAACAAGTGGTGTGAAGAATATGATGAGTATCTAACTTTAAGTGAGTATATGAAAACTCTTGAATATTTGAGATTTTCTATCTAATTGAACTTTAATTCCTAAATTTTCCTTGCATGCATATCATGTAGTTACATTCTTGTATTGGGATTTTGTGGGTAGATCCACTGTAAACCCTCACGAGACATAACTCATCCATTAGGGTGACTTAGGGGTTTAAAGGCTTGTTGCACATGCTAAGTGCAACCGTGATTCCTACGAAAGTGAGTTAGGTTTTATTTTTGTTTCTTTTATCTTTTTATTTTACTCGAGGACGAGTCAAACTTAAGTTTAGGGAAATTTGATGAGCTAAATTTATATACATATTAATAGGGAATTTTTACTTTGATATTATTGATATTTGGATGAGTTTTATGAGATTTTATTTGATTTTACATGGTTTTCATTCTTTGTGAAAGAAATGATTTAATTGGAAGAAATCCTACTTTTTAAAAGTAAATTAAAGAGATCAAAGACTTGAGGATCAACTTGTGCAGAATCCAGAAGTCAGGAACCAAATCTGCTATTTTACCATTGAAGAAATTACAAAAGGAGACTAGAAACCCGACACGGGTGTAGTGTCGACACGTAGCCGGGGTGTCGACACCATGCGTTAAACGTCCAGAATCAGATTCTGTTTCCTATTTTGTGTCAACACGTAATCCGAAGTGTCAGCACCACGCGATCAGCATCCAAAATTCAATTTCTTATTTCTGTTTCAAATCTTACTTCTATTTCAATTAGGTTTTTTAAAATCCTATAAATACCCATCTAAATTCATAATTAAAAGAGTTTTTGAGAGGCTGGTGGCAGCCCTCTTTTGGGCATTTTTAGAGATGTTCTATCAATAATAAAAGATCAAAGAATTCGATTTCCTCAAATTGAGTTTTATTTTTCCTTGGGTTTTTATTTATTGTTTAATATTTGAATGTTCATAACTTTGATTTCATATTTTATTATTTGTATTATGAACTGATTTATTCTACTAGGGTTATGATGTAGCCTAATCAATTTAATATGAATTTTATGATTTTATTCTTTCAATTAAAGTTATTCGCGTGAGAAGTTTATATTATTGAACTTAATGCATTGGAAGCCTGATCATCTTTTAATTGATTTAGTGATTTATGCATGAACTTGAGAAAGAATTGCATAGATTAGACCAATAATAATATAAACCGTGTGCTAGACTATGAGATCGAGAGGTAATTAGCTTACATGTGGTAGTAGAGGAAGAGAAGAGAGTTAGTAGCTCTCCCTTCTTAAGCTAGAGGTTTCCATAGAATTTAATGCTCATAAGTTTGTTTAAAATTATATAGAGATATGATTAATTTAACAAACAAGTGAAGGATTAACTTGACTTGAGAAAGTTAGTTAATTAATTTAGGGAAATCCACCATCACATGCAATAATACTCAACAATTTAGTAATCCAGAATTTATATTGATTGATTATGATGAAATCAATGCCTTAGTACCTCCTACTTTGATTAGATTTATTTGTTATTTTCTTTTTATTATTTTCAATTAAAGTTTCTTCCTATTTGATTGTTCAAATAAATTTAAATTAATTATTTTGGTACTTAATTAGACACAATCCTCATGGGTTCGACACTCCATTCATCATTATATTACTTGGAGCGACTAGTATACTTATTAGGTGATTTTAGTGCTTCACATGCTGCAAAATACTGTCATTATTTGGCAAAAAGAGAAAGAAGTGTCATATGAATATATGCATAAGGTGGAATTCTATTTCTCACATTTATGATGGCAGCTTTGTCATCATAACCAGATGCAGCTGAAGCAAAATTGGCCCCAATTAGAAGATTTTCCCCTGATGCTTCCAGGCTTAGATATGCTGGGGCATAAGTGTTGAATCCCAGATTTTCAGCTACAAAAGGAAATCTATCTAATTTGGACAACATACACCCAAACAATCAACACCCATCTCAACACCCAAAGTTTATGAACAGTAAAATTACAAATTTACCCCTCCTCATTTTAGCTTTGGGTGTTGAGATAGGTGTTGATTGTTTGGGTGTATGTATAATTATCCATCTAATTTATTTACTTGAAGAAATAATCACTAGACAAATTAGTAGTACTACTTATTACTTACCAGTAATATCAGTGGCTAAGTTCCCATTGCAAAGCCTCCCCGTAGTTTTGTGATTGATGAAGTCTTTTCCATAAGAGGGTAATTAATTAGCCTTGAAAAGGTTGGGGAGATAGAAATAAAAAGCGACATCTACTGCAGAATCACCGAAGGTTATGATGGCTGGAACAAGAGCACCTGAGTCTTGTGCATACCCTTTGCTTAGACGTGCAAATGCCAAGACCAAAAGCCTTGCTCTTGTATGGTACCTATCCAGTTTGCTCGACAGTGGTACTTTGAGCTGCTGACTTAGTCCTTGTAAAAGGACTTTGGAAATTATCCAATTATGGCCCTGTCATGAATAAGGAAGATAGAAGTTGAGAACGGTCAATAAATGAGAGTAGTTCAAGTTTCTATTATGCATTCAAGTAACACATTTTTTTAAACAAATTTCCAGCAAATGTTTAGATTTTGTTTCTGTTTTATTTTCCTTTCACTCACTCACTCACTCACACACACACACACTCTTTCTCTCTCTCGCCTCATTTAAAATGTAGATGAAGTTGATAAACCCACATATATGAATTTATTTGTATCTAAGTAAGAACAGGCAGGGTAGTTGGGATGATATTATGGATATGGTGACACACAAGGGATTGGAACCACAGGGAAGTCGCATGTGATGGAGTTAATATCTCTGTCTTTTGTTTCTTCTTCTTGATACCTGAATCAATTTGGAAGATTGAGGAAAGAAAGAAATCCAGACATGTTGCTTTCAAAGTCTATCTTTTTCTTAATTTTCTTTAGAAAAACAAAATGATCTTATATGGACTCTGGCGCAAATATCTGAGTGGAAGCATGTACTGTGATACTGAAACTATAAATTTTTTTCTAGGAAGATTTCCATGTAACTATGTACATGAAATTGATAGGATTTTGTTTATGTACAGATATTTATGTATAGAATATTTGCAATTGACAACGGGGTCCAGTGTATTAATTTGAAACACCATTTATTTCTCTATTGGAAATTCAATTGCGCTGTAGTTGGTTTTCATTATCATTTACACGTCCAGGCTGGCTGCATGTTAGAGGATTGGCAGCGGACCTTAGCCCAACCATGAAAGCTGAAATACTGGATCCTCATCAACGTTTGATACTGCTAGTTTGCTAACTTGTTTTGTTTGCCTGTTCGACATTTGGGATTTACTAATGGTTTAAGCACAAGAATTCGAAGGTGGGTGGTTTCTGAAGAAAAGCAAAGAAAGATTGAAAGAATACTGAACTTGTATTCACTATGTTCATTGGTGTACAAGAGATGTATTTATATTTACAGAAAAGTTG